GAGCAATTTAAGATGGGTGGAAGAGGGATGTTGAACAATAAGTCCTATGAGAAAAGTTTGAAGGACTGGGTGATGTTTAGCCTGGAGAAGAGGAGGAACGAGACATGGCCACGTTCTTCCAGTGCTTTTGAAGGGCTGTCAGGTGGAAGAGGGCAAAGGCTAGTTCTCTGTTGCAAGATCTTTTGGGCTTAAGTTACCGGAGGGTAGCTTCCAGGTGACCAGTAGGAGGAACTTTCTAATCATAAGAGTGGTTCAGTGGGGGAACCAACTCCCCAGGGGTGGGTAAGCTATCTCCCTCTCCGGAGACCTTTCAGTTGAACCTTCACAGATGTCTTTCAGGAATGCTTGAGTTTTGGGTTTCCTGCATTGAACAGGGGGTTGGACTAGGTGGTCTTGGAAGCCCCTTTCTGACTCTAGGACTAGTCTTTTGTGCCTTCTGAGTCCCTGCGCTTCTCACCCCCAGATCTCCCACTCAGCACCTCTCTAAGCCCGGCTTTCTTGTTTCGCAGAAGAGCTACGGGGAGGTGAACTTGATTGACTGCATGCGGCTCTTCACCAAGGAGGACGTGCTGGACGGAGATGAAAAGCCCGTAAGGAATACTCTGAGATAGGGTTGCCAAACCCAGGTGGGGCCTGGAGATCTCCTGGAACGACACCTGATCTCCAGAGATCAGTTCCCCCAGAGAAAATGGCTGCTTTGGAGGATGGACTATGGCCTTATATCCCGTTGAGGTCCCACCCACCCCCTTCCCAGGCCCCACCCCCAAGATCTCCAGGAATTTCCCATCCTGGAGTTGGTAACCCTAGAAGATGAAAGTCCAGACGGCGGGAGGAGGAAAGGGCCACAGTGTGTATTGATGAACTGAGCAGACTGTGTTTTGGTATGCCGCCTTCCCTAACATGTACGACCTATAAGGCAGCTTCATGTGTTTGTATGTGAGATAACAGGGATTGAACCTGGGGCCTTCTGCATGCCAAGCAGGTGTTTTGGTGTAGTGGTTAAGAGCGCGGACTCTAATCAGGGAGAACCAGCAGCTGTGACCTTGGGTCAGTCACAAGTTCTTTCAGAGCTGTTCTCTCCAGGGCAGTCCTCGAAAGAGCTCTCTCAGCCCCACCTGCCTCACAGGGTGTCTGTTCTGGGGAGAGGAGGGGAAAGGAGATTGTAAGCCACTCTGAGACTCCGAGTGAAGGGTGGGGTATAGATCCAATCTCCTCCTCCTCCTTGTTCTGCATCTGAGCCACAGTCCCGCCTGATGAGCCTGGGTCTCCCTTCTCTGTTTTATCCTCACTACGACCCTGTGAACTGAGATGGAGACTTGCCCTGCCCTGCCTCACATGTCTCACTTCCACTGCAAGAATGTGATTCCTTTCCCCTGAGTGGGCTTGCTGCTCCAGCTCCTCGTTCCTCAGCTAGAAGCTCAGTCCCTTATTTTAAGCTCTAACTGGCCCGCTCTCCTCTTTCAGTGCCAGTCGTGATGGACATGTGTCTTGTCTGCATATAAGCAGGTGCGGTGTAGCAAGGTGGGGTGGCAGCGGGGGGGGGACACCGTGTCCCCTGCAAAGAGCAGCATAAGGCAGTCAGTGGTCCTTGAGACAGCAGGAAGCGGGGCCGTGGCTCAAGAGGAAGAGCCTCCGCTTTGTGTGCAGAAGGTCCTGGGTTCAATCCCCAGCATTTCCAGCTAACAGGATCGAGTGGAAGGTGATGTGAAAGGCACACATGAACACATGACCACTACCTTTTACTGACTCAGACCCTTGGTCCATCAAAGTCAGTGCTGTCTACTCAGACTGGCACAGGCCCATAGCCAGGATTTTTAAAGTCAGGGGGTCCTGGATATTGACGTCCTTCTATCGCTGCTCAATAGAGAGCAGTTTAACATATTCTGTTTGTGCCTGGTTTGCCAGTTGTACGGCTGTGGAGAGGAAAGCACTCCAGAGAGTTGTTATTCCAGCCCAGAAGATCATTGGCTGCCCTCTCCCATTCCTGGAGGAATTGTATAGTTCTCGATGTTTGAAAAAAGCAAAGAACATCTTGCAGGATCTGTCACATCCTGAACGTTCCCTGTTTGAACTGCTGCCTTCGGGCAGAAGATATAGGACAATTAAAGCAAGGACAAATAGATTAAAAATTAGTTTTTATTTGAGAGCTATTATTGCCTTAAATGCAGTATGAAATTGGAATTTGGGTGACATTGGTGGTTTTAAGTTGTTATCTGAACCTTAAGGGAGTTATGGGACAGTTGTGAATGATGTGTGAGTATATATGAATATTGTTGTAGATCAACAAAATGATTACATCTTTAATTTCGTTGTACTATGTACAATGACAATAGATATATTATTATTATTACTATTATTATTATTATTATTATTATTATGCCCCAAACCAGGCTCCACCCCCAAATCTCCAGTAATTTCCCAACTCCGAGTCAGCAACCCTATGGAAATAGCCTAGATTGTAGATTTGTGTTTTTGTGTGTGGGGTAAGACCTCTGGCCAACTTTCTAACTCACCGAAGGCCAAAATAATATGTTCCTGTTTAGAGAACATATTTTCCAATTCTGTTTAGAGAAATCCTACAATCCTTGAATAAATGTTTTCTTTGGGAAGCAGCCCTTAGCCTTCCCGGCCCATGCAGTGGTCCTAAAGCACACATTTCATCTCTCTCTCTCTCTCTCTCTCTCTC